CTCCATGCTGCTTGCACCTCCTGGTTCCATGCACTGGGATTTCCCCAGCGAAGACAGAGCCCAGACCATCTTCCATCCAACACAGGGCAGAGCTGGGCACACCAAAACCGAAGATGCTTGGAAGAGAAGAGGCGTTGGGCGAGTGTGGCTCTTGCTGGGGCAGCCAAAACCCTGGAGAGCAAGAGGACAGGGCTGGGGAGGGGAATGGGAGCAAACCCACCCTGGGATGGTGCTTCCTGCAGCTCTGGGGCCACGTGTGGGCCAGTGCTGGGTGCCAGCAGCAGGGAGGGAGTCTGTATGCCCCTCCAGGAACCCCCCAAGGCCCGGCCGGGACCCACCACCCACCATGGGAGGCGTGGAGAGGGAGAGGGCCCCGAGCAGCAGCAAAGTCGGGGAGCAGCTCATGCCCAGCCAAAACCGGGAGCTGAACACCAACCAGATGGACTCACGACTGGGTGTGCAGAGGGGGCTCGGGCAGCAGAACAGATCTGGGCTTTAATTGACATGGTGCCTTGAGAAATCTTACCTGAAGAATTAAATCCCGTTGCCTGAGATATGAGCACTTTTACAATAGACTAAAAATCGGCATGGAGATCATGAGCAAACGGCAGGGACTCAGGCTGGGGGGGTGCAGGGGGGGCAGCGGGTGCTGTGATGTTTAACCTCTTTCCTGCTGGCAGCCTGGAAGCCGAGGTAAAAGGTGCATTAATTAACTGCCCGTGGATGGTGCGTTAGGAGCCAGAGCCACGAGCCCGGCGGGGAGCGGGAAGGTGCGCTGCGAGGAGCTGTCCCGCGGGCCCGGGCGTTCGCAGGGCGCAGTTGGGGCGGTGGAAAGGCATTAGCAGGAGGGATGGGAGCTTGATCAGGAGTCAAACAGGCTGAGTGATCAGATTTGGAGGGGCAGGTCTTGGGAAGATATGCAAGCCTCCCGCCCCCCTGCCCTCCCCACACACAAGCTCTCCCGCCCTGCCCTCCTTCATCTGCAGAAGTGGAAGTGTCCCAGGAACATGAAACGATTACTCGGCGAGGAGAATCCAGCTCAGCACTTCTTGGCATTTGTTCACGGCTTTTCATCTTCAAAGCTCCTTGCAAACATTAGCTAACTAATCCCTGCAACCTTCCTGTGAGATAGTGCAGGATCAAGCGGAGGAGCATTATCTCGCCACAGCAGATGGGGAAACTGAGGCATGGAGTGGTGACGCTGCTGCCCCGGGGCGCGGGGCGAAGCTGCGTGTCAGCGCTGGGGGTGGAGTGTGGCCAGCCAGGCCATCGAGGTGCGGATCGCGCCGCTCCGCCACTCTCTCCCCAACCCCGGTGATGCAGCCGTGAGCCATAAGCATCTCTCCGATTTACCCGGCTGGAGTCGCACGGACACGGCTGAGAAAATCCAAGCCCCAGGGTCAGAGCTGCCGGCAGCAGCCCCGCGCCTCGGGGGGCAGCTCCCCACCACGGCCACGTGCCGTGGGGCTGCGGAGCTGGTGCCACCAGCAGCACTGGGGCTGGGCCTGCAGCTCACGCCTGGCGCCAGCCACTCGCCACGTGCTCCGAGGGATGCTGGTGGGGGGCGAGACGGGGGTGCGGGGCGAGCTTCGCCCAGTTCCCACTTGCTGGGTTCCTGCTGTGCTCCCGCGCTGACCCTCGGCAGACCTCGAGCCGGCCCTGCTGCACCGAGCGCGGGTCCTGTCTCTGGGGTTTCCCGGGATCCCACGCCCCACCTGAGTGGGGGGCAGCGCCTCGGTGTGTGGAGCCCCTGGCCAGGACCCCCGCTCCCCACAGGTGCTGCTGAGGGGTTCAGCATCATCTCCGCTGGCATGGGAGAAACTTGGGCATCCCCCTGTGACGGGGAGCGTAACGGGGCCAGGATCGCTCTGCTCCAAGGGGGAAACGGCGACCAAAAGGGACCTGCCCAACGCCTGCCAGCGATCCATGCCGTCAGCATGAAACCTCTGCTCTTTTGCCTGTGCTGTGACCCTGGGCTCTGTGAGAAACACTTCTCAATTGAATGTCTTGTTGCAAATTGCAGCTCTAATTGGTTTAGCAGAGTTTAATTAGCCTGAACTGATGAGAGAGGCGAGATTCCCTCCTTAAAGGAGCCCGGCAGCTCAGGAGGAGAATGAAGCAGCCAGGATTTTGGGGGGGAGGATGGTTGGCTCTTGATCCTCTGCCTGAAATCTTGCTGCAGCGTGAGCTGCAGTGGGACGTGGCCTGACCCAGCACAATAGCAGCACCCAGACAGAAAGGTCAGATGTGAGGCTGCCATTCACTGTGGCTGCAAAGAGCCCCTTTGTCCCCACTCCGCCCGCCACCCCCAGCCCATGCCTGGCCCAGGGGCTCCTTTGATTCTCCCGGGTGCCACTGCTGGGCTGGTCTCCCTGTGGTTCCCAGCCTGGTTCCTCTCCCCCCTCACTCCGCAGGCGCTGCTGGGGCTCAGCTGCCGCCCGTGGGAGCGGAGGGGAGTGGGGAGGCAGCATCTCCCCGCGTGCGGCAGACTGGTTGGTGGAGTTTTGCTCCCAGCTTTGCTTAGAACCAGCCTTGGCCCCCGCCTGAGGTGCGACCGCGGGTGAGTCGCTCCCCTGCCCCACGGCGGGACGGCGCTTCCCAGGGCGGCGGGGTCCGAAGCCGGGGCAGGGGGTGAGCGCAGCCCCCGAGCACGGTTTTGCTGGGAGCAGGGTGGCCTTGGCAGGGCTCCGGGCCCACAGGCACCCTCAGGCCTTTGCGAGGCAGCGCCGAGCTATGCGAGCTCAGGGGAAGGAGCCCGACCCGCTTCCCCCCCGGCCTCCAGGCTCCTCCTGCCCCACGTCAGGCGGAGCGGGAGCCCGGCTGCTCCCTTCCAGATGCAGCAGCGCCTGCTGCTCCGGAGCGAGCTCCGACCCCTTCCCTGCCAGAGCCAGCTGGTTGTGCAACGCTGCTGCTGCTCGCAGCCAGGGAAAATCCCTCCCTGGCCTCCGCAAGCTCCTCTTGCATCTTGGAGCATGTGAGTGAGTGCATCACCACCCGCTCGCTCATTGAAATCCAGCTCGGGGATTTGGCTCCCCAGCCCTCTGCCCTTACATGGGCAATCGCTCCGAGGCCGGCAGAGCGAGCCAGGGGTCACGCCGGCCAGGAGCGGGGACAGGGACGGGGAAGGGAGCCGTGCTGCCCAGCCCTGGGCCAGCAGCACACCAGGAGCCTGCACAGCTGGGGTCCTCTGGCTCCGTCCTTCCCCGCCCCAGGACAGCCGTCCCTCGCAGCAGGGCTCCCTGCCCCATACACACGCTGGCCAAAGGAACTGTGGCACTTCAGGGCCCCAGCGCTCCTCCACCGAAGCCCTGCAGTTTACACCAATGCCACCTGGCATAAACCCAGCCCTCCCCACTCCCATCCCCTCCCTGGGTTGCAGGGGGCTGTGTGGGGGAAAGAGGGGGGAAGGTCCATCTCAGCGGAGGGCCAGCCCGCTGCCCTCCCCTGGGACTCGTCCTTAGGATGGCGGGAGGGATGGGGACGAGGTGGTGCCAGCGGACACGACTGCTCAGCCCGCGCTGGCTGCTGGCATCGCACCCCGCTCCCCCCGCGTCGTGGGACCCACGCTGCTCCGTGTCTCACTGGACCAAAGCTGCATCCAGCCCCATCCCGTGCCAAACCGAGCTGCTCACACTGTGCTGGCACCGGCCCGGAGCGAGGAGGCTGCTGCCAGGCCGGAGGGGTGGTGCAAGGTCCCCAGGGCCCTCTGGCCGGGGCCCCTCTCCTGAAAAAGCCCGGCGCAGTTCTGCCGAAAACATGACCTCAGCTGAGGCCAGTGCAAAGGGTAAAACGTTCCTCAGCTGCACGGCCGGGAGATGGACACAGCTCATGGGGCTGGAGAAGGGCCCTGGGCGGCAGCAGGAGGAGCGGGGACTGGCAGAGAGCCCCGTGTCCCCAGTGCTCTGCCTGGGGAGTGAGGTGACGGGTGGGGTCCCTAACTGCACCCCGACCCCCCTTGCAGATGGGTGGGTGATCTCTGTGTGGTGGGACGGAGCAGGGAGCGAGGCCAGGCGATGTTGAGGAGCCTGACCTGCCTTTCCCTGGGTTCCCCCTCCCCATCCTGCCGGGACCCCCCAAAGCCTGGCAGCACTGGCAGAGTCGCGGTTCCCCAGCCCAGGTCGGGCCGGGTCTGGTCCGGCACACGTCCAGGAGCTGTGACGGAGCCGCCCTGGTGACGATGGGGGTGTGTGGGAGGACAGTGACAGTGTGTGAAATGGCGGGGTACGTTCCCCCTAGCTCTTCTCCTCCCCCTCGTTGCCCAGACAAGGGCTTGCGCAGCTCGAGACAGCGGGGCCCAACGGTGCCTCAGTTTCCCTAACGGCGCGGGGTGGGTGATGCTGGGCTGCCGGCGGAGCCGCGCTGGTGTTTGGGGAGCAGCGATGAAAGGGGCCACATGACAGAGACCTGACCGTAACTCTGCTGCCAGACGGGGCTGCTGCGGGGAGGAGGAGGAGGGTGGGAGGAGGCAGACAGAGGGTTCATACAAGGATGGGAGGGTGGGGAAGCAGCAGCCGTGCGGGAGGGACGGGGTCGGGCAGGGGGGGCTGCTCGGGGTCCCCTACGCCTCGGCGTCTAGCAGGACACATCTCTGCTCTCTCTGTCCCGGCCCTTCCTCCGCTGCTCGGGGCTCGGGGGGCACCCCCAAACCTCCCCATCTCCATCGCCTCCATCCCAGCGCGGTCCAGCTGCGGGGTGCCGGTCCCTGCCCGGCCCGGAGGGCACACAGACACATCCCCACCCGACACCCGCAGACGGGGACGAGCAGTCCCTCCCTGTCACCCCCCCCCCCCCCGACACCCCCGCAGCACCCCCCCAGCCGCGCCCCCGCTCCCAGCCCCCCAGCCCCTCTCCCCCCCCCCGCACTTACCTCCCCCCACCCCTTGCCCCCCAACTCCCACCCCCGCCCCGCTGCCCCCGCCCCCGGCCGCGGCCCCCCCGCCGCCGCCCCGCCCGGTGATTCACGCCGCCCCGCCGCTTTATAACGCCGCCGGCCCCGCCGCCGCCTCACAGGCAACAGGTCGCCGGAGCGTCCCGGCCCCGTCCCGGCCCGTCCCGCCGCCCCGGCCCGGCCATGCCGCTGCGGCTGGCGCTCTGCCTGCTCGCCCTCTGCAGCCCCGCCGCCGCGCACGGTAAGTGCCGCCCGGGGTGGGGGTGGGGGGGGGTATGGGGGGAGCACCGGGGCGGCCGCTCCCGCCGGGGCCGCCCGCCCGCTCCGTCGGTGCCGCCGCGCCCCGGCCCGGCCCCGCCGGCAGGTGCTTGGGCCCCGGGGTCCGGGGCCGTTACCGAGCTGTGCCCTCGCCGGGCACCCCTGTGCCGTTTGTGCGTGTCACCCCCCTCCCTCCGGCAGCCGCCGCCCCGGCCCGGTGGGCGCTGCTCGCGGGGGTGGGCTCTCTGCGGCACAAACGCGTTTTACCGGGAGGCACCCGGAGCCGTGGAGCGGCTGCTGCCCGGTGCCCGGCAGTGCCGCTCGGGTGGGCCCTGGTGTCCCTCCGTGGCCGTGTCCCCGCTGCCACGTCCCGTCCTGTGGCAGTGCTGGTGCCCGACCCCGGCATCCCGCACCCCTCAGAGCCCCGGCACGGGGCGACCGTCACGACAGCCCCCTGCAGAGCTCCCGGGATGGCTGCCCGGGTGGGGGTCCCCCTCCGCTGGCCGCGGGGTGGGAGAGCCGTGCTCCGGGGCTTTCTGAGCCGGGGTTGGGAGAACGGGGAACGGTGGCCGGTTCATGATCTGGGTGTGGAGTTTGTAGCTCGAACCCCTCCCGGTTCAGCTGACCGGGCTGGCAGCTCTCACCGGGCTTGGGAGGCGTCCGGGCTCTCTGGTAGCTGTTCCCTCACCGGGGAGCCGTCCCGGCACCCAGGCCGTTCGGGACCCCACTCTGGGGCTCCAGCAGCCTTTCCCAGCGCTGCAGAGCTGTGGCTGCTGCTGCCAGCATCGGCTCTCCCGCCGCGCCGCTGGAGTTTCCATCTTCCCCCTCACATGATGCTGTGTGCCTCCGTCGCTGCTCACCAGCGTGGGCCGGAGCTGCGTGCCCCGGGTATCGGCAGGTCGGGATGCCCCGAAGGATGGGGGAGGCTCCCACGAGGCCCCTCGTGCTGCTGCGGCCCCCCGGGATCATGGTTGGCGTCGCCCCAGCCCATGGGATTTCCACTTGCTGCTTTGTGGGGTCAAGTACAAGTTCTGGAAGGCCCCGGGCAGGGCCACGCTCTGTCCCCCTGTGCAGAGCTGGGGTGCTCCAGCCACACTGACCACAGGAACACTGCACCTGAAGACGGGGTACCCCAAGTACCCGGCGCTGGCCCCTCTGGCCCGCGGCAACCTTGCTGTACTCGCAGGGCGGGTGGGCTCTGTCCCCCCACACAGTGCATGTCCTTTGTCAGTGTCCCTGCACCCCACCACAGCTCGGGAGGTGGTGAGTGCCCCGCTGCTGCTAGCTGGGGTGCACCCCAGAGACCAGGGGTGCGCGGCTCCGTCCTGTTGCGGGTGGGATCACTCCGCATGTGGCTGTGCCCACGGGCAGCAGTGGTGGGGCAAGCGCGGTCCGAAGGCAGGACACTGCTCCCGGGGAGCTTGGTGCTGTGTGGGAACTGGGGCCACGGGGTGTTGTAAAGGAAAAATGGGTTCGACAGAGCAATTAGACAAATCAATGGAGGATAAACCCACCAGTGGCAGAGGGGGGTTGGCCTGGCTGGTGCTTCCAGAGGTGTCCAGGCTGCTGAGTCCCACAGCCTGAGGGTTTGCTCCATCCACAGCTGCCCCGCAGAGTTGTCGCTGGCTGCAGCGGGGCTGGAAGCCCTGTGTGGTTTTGACCAAACCAAAATTGAGTGCCTGGAGGGAGAAGGGGGGGGACCTGGGGTGCAAGGTGGGTGCTGACTCTCCTTTGGGGCAGGGTGAATCCTTCCTTTAGAGGGGAGCGACTCCAGCCTGGCATGGGCAGGATCCGTCCCTTCCCCCATCCCTCCCTCACATCTTTAGCCGTTTAACAAACCTCAAACGCAGCTAATGAGAGCATAAACCCAAATAAGCGTCAGAAGAGGCTGGTTTGCAGAGGCGGAAATTGCAAAGGAATCACTCACAAAAAAAAAAAAAAAAAAAAAAAAATAACCGATTCACTCGTGGGGTTAAGGAACAAACAGGCTTTTGACTCAGAGGGATCCGATGCCGCTGGGCTGGCCCCGTCCCAAGGGCTGTGTCAAGTGCCCGGTTCTCCAGCCAGTGGCTCAGATGCTCCTCGCAGAGGCCGTGGGTGTCGGTCCCCATCCCTCCGTGGGGCTGCCGGCTCACGCGGAGGATGCAACCCTCGCAGCGTGGGCAGCCACCAGCCCCACTCTGCCTGTCCCCACCCCGGGCTGGAGCCGCTCCCTCCCCTGCGGGGTCAGGCAGGAGTTTGGCAGCGATGGAGGGGGGGCAAGGCAAGGGGACGAGCTGCAAGCCCAGATCCTGGCCCACTGGCTCGGCATCTCCCAGCGCATCGGTTGTGAGTGCAGAGGTGACTGGTACGCTCCTGCAGTCCCAGTGCCGGGTTTGGAGCCGGTTGGCTGGAGGAGCTGGGCTGCCAGCAGCCCCGGGGCGCTGGGGTGGCAGTGGGAACACGGAGCTGCTGCCACGCTGTGGTGGGGGCCCGTGGGGACGCCTGCTCTGGGACAGCCCTTGTGCCACAGGAGAGATGGGGGCCAGCACCGAGTGTCTTTAGGTTCCCCAGCTCATCCCATGCTGGCACTTTCCAGGCACTGGTGCGGTCCCCGTGCCTCGGCCGGGGTCTCGCTGCCTTTGGGGCAGTGGCCCAGCACAGCAGGGACCCCTCACCCTCTGCCCTCCCCGCAGGTGGGATCTGCTGGCTGCAGCAGGGGAAGGAGGCCAAGTGCACCATGATCCTGAAGACAGGCGTGACGTGGGAGGAATGCTGTGCCAATGGCAACGTGGACGTGGCCTGGTCTAATTACACCTACCCCGGCAACAAGATCAGCCTGCTGGGCTTCCTGGGGCTGGTGACCTGCCACCCCTGCAAAGGTGAGCGTGGCTGTGGGGCGAGTGGGGTGCTGTGGGGCTGAGCTCTGCTCGGGGAGGGTTCTCAGAGCCCTGGGGAGGGTGCAGTGATGGGGCTGGGCTGCCCATCACCAGGCAGGTCTCTTCTGTCCAGAACAGCACAGGGACCCTGGGGACCGCTGACCCCACACTCCTGCTGCCACAGCACTGGGATAAATGCCGCCATGAGGCCGGAGCTTGCGGAACGGCTTCCATCCCCTGGCAGCTCTCATTCTGTGTGTATTTTTGTGGGATGCGTGACCTTGGTCTTGGCTGGGGCAGCCCGACTGCAAGGAGCCGAGCTGGGGCTCCCCATTCCCAGGTTAACTCTGCTGTGGCTGGGGCCTCCCGCCCCTGCCCTCGCCAGGTCTGCTCAGAGGGAAAATTCTTAAGTTTTGGTTCTTTTTTTTTTTTTCTTTTTTTTAAGGAAAAAAGATCTATTTCTTCCCCTCTGCTCCCCCTTCCTCCTCCCAGCGTGTATGTGAAATGGCTTTATGTAACGGGCAGTTCCAGAAGTGGAAACTCTCCAGCTGTGAGTTCCAGCCCCGCCAGATGTTTTGGCGCACGCCAGAGGTGCGGATCCCCCAGTCGCACTTGCGTGGCTGTGTGAGAACATGCTCGAGGACCTGCTGGCCGCAGTAGGCAGGAGCAGGTCTTTGGAAGGTCATGTCGTTATTTGGTTAAAGGGGGGGGGCGGAAAAAGTGGCTCTTAACAAAACCGCTTCTTCCAGCCCCTCTGCACCCCCCGGCACTGCCACCCCGGCTGCTCCTTGGCCCCTCGGGGTTGCACCCGGTGCTGGCCGAGGGAGATTCTGGACCCGTAGCAGCCGGGCAGGCCCCGCTCATGGGTGCCAGGGCACCGGGACCCTCTCAAGGGGCTGGTTGGGGAGCATGGCTCCCCCCTGCCCAGGGCAGAGCACAGTGGGGACAGGCAGCCCTCCCCTCACCCCAGGGTTCTGCCCTCAGCTCTGGGGGGCCCGGGGGGGCTGCCAGCGGCCACAGGCCACTAGCGGGGGCTGCAGCTTCTGGGGACCATCGGGGTCTGGGAGCAGGACCTTTGCTGAAACGGCCAGCGAGCCCGGCCGGCACGTACGCTGCAACTCCCCACCCTTCAGAAAGCCCCTGCCTGTCCCATCCAGATGGAGCTGGTGCTGCTCCCCACCGGGCTCCAGCGAGCCGGAGGCCTTGGAAAAGGGCGGAGGAGACTAGCTGCTCTCCTGCTCCCTGGGCTCGCGGGACCGGGAGAGGTTACTCCAGGATAAAGCGGGCTGCAGCCACCAGCCCCGCGCCAGCAGCCGGGGCGGCCGAGCCCCGTGGGAAGGTGCTGGCCAGACCCCGGGGGCTCTGCAATGGGTCTCTGGTGAGGAGGTGAAATTCCTGGTTCCAGCTGCTGGGGACACAGTGTCCCCCCGAGGGACCCGGCGCGGGGAGGAGAGCTGGGCTGTGGGGTCAGGGTCACGGGCGGGTGGTCCACCCGCCTCCCTCCCTTGCTGGGACAGGCGGGATGGCCGGACCCCAGCGGCAGCGTCCTGAAGCGGAGGGTGATGAGGATCCCGCTTGCTCTAGCAGCCCTGGGGCACAGGGCCATGCCCCCCTGTCCTGGGGCCTTGTCCCTGTGGGTTTCCACAGAGATGCTGCCGGGGCTCAGCCTGCCCCTCTCCCCTTCCCTTGGACAGGACCCAGCTATGGAAATCGGGGAGCAAAGTGGGAAACTGTCTCCCACCAGGGAATTTCCCCTGGGGAGAGCCGGGCCAAGCAGACTGGGAATTTCCCCCTCTTCCTCCTCCTCCCTGCTCCCGCTCTCTCCCAAAGTGACCTGTCTCTGGCAGGGAAATCCCCCTCTGTACCTCCCAGCAGCTCCCAGCACACACCCTGTCTGTGGGAATCCCTCCTGCTTGGGGGTGAATCCCCGTCTCGGGAGGTTTCTCTCCTGCCCGGCCTTCCTCCCGCGGGTGCCGATGGGTCCCTGCACCCCCCAACTCCCACCATTGCCCCTGTCCCAGGGCACAAAGGGTCCCTTTGGGGTGAGGTCTATATGCGTGCTTCAGGGGGGTGCAAGGGGCTTCCAGCCCCCAGCCCTGCCTTGCTGCAGGTGCTGACCCCTTTCCCTCTCCCCGCGGAGGCACCAGCCGCTGGGATGGGTCCCTGCTCGGAGCCACCGGCGTGGGCAGCACCAGGCGCTGGCGGGACCCTCTGAACCCGGTTCCCGTGCTGGCCGGGAGGCGACCCGGGGGACAAAGCCACTGCCTGTCTGGGGATCTGCGCTTGCTGCTGCGTCCCGCTCTTGTGTTCAAGTCACGGAGGCCCGGAGCAAAACAGGGCTGGGTATTGTCTGGTGGAAGCGGCGTTCCTGATTGCCCAGACAACTTGTGAAGCCCAGTTCCTTCTGGAGGAGCTGGGGCCTTGCGGAGATAGATTTTTCCATTGCACAAGAAAAAGAAGTGTCTCCTTCCAAAAAAATAAATACATAGAAATGAGTTAGCTGGTGCTGAGCGGAGGGCCGGGGCTCTGGCTGGGGCGAGTGCTGGATGATCGTGCAGCGCTCCAGCCAACGACCTGCTCCTTGGCGGAGCTGAGCAGATCCAGATGCTGCTCAGGGCAGCTCGGCGTCGGTGTGCGTGGTGGGACCCCGCAAGTGATTTGAGACCCCTGGGGCTGTTGCTGGCCCCATCCTGGCCAGTGCCACCCTCTGGGGCTGGGGTGCTGGCCGGCCCTGGCAGGATGGCTCCTCCCCTCGCGGGGGGCAGCCCTTGCCGCTTCCTCATGTGCTGCTCCCGCTCTGTCCCCAGAGAGCTGCGAGGGGGTGGTGTGCGGCCCCGACAAGGTCTGCAAGATGAAGCACGGGCGTCCCCAGTGCGCCTGTGCCCCCGACTGCTCCAGCCTGCCCCGCAAGCTGCAGGTCTGCGGTTCCGACGGCTACACCTACCGCGACGAGTGCGACCTGCTGACGGCCAAGTGCAGAGACCACCCCGATCTCGAAGTGATGTACCAGGGGAAATGCAAAAGTAGGTCTGGTCGTGCCCCTCACCCTGTTTCGTCCCTGTCCCGTCCCCCGTGCCTCTCACACTCGGACCAGTCCAAGCTGCGCCCGCACGGAAGGACGAGCGGCAGCGCAGGTCCCCGAGCCCATGCACCCGCCGGCTCTCCTGGCTCATCCTGCTGCGCCGTGCTGTCGTGTCCCGGCGCACCCTCCCCTCTCCCACCTGGGAAGCTGAGTCTCCCCCGTTGTCCCCGCCACAGGCAGCGTGTCCTTGTCCTGCCCCAAGCCCAGGGGCTTCACCAGCACGGCGAGTTGGGGTTGTAAGTGGTGCCTGGCCCTGGCGGTGCCCAGGGAAGGAGGGTCCGGGTGTGGGGGCATTGCTCCGCAGCCAGCCGGGCGCTGAGGGGTGCTGGTGCAGCCCCATCCCTTGGCATCGCCCTCGCTGTGCTCCGAGCTGGCACCCGCCTGGCCCGGCCACCCCCGCGGGGACGCAGCAGCGGAGCTGCCTGCGATGCCGACACAGCCTGCCAGTGCACCGGGGGGCTTAGCCTCCCCATGGGCTGAGGAATAACAGTCCGTAAAATGTCACTTACGAACATCAAGCCCCTTTTTTTGTTGTTTTGTTAAAGAGAGCAGCAATCCTCCTTGCCCTGCCAAGAACTGTCAGAATTATTATGATTATTTTTGCCAGCCCTCCTCTCTGAAATGCTTTGCCTGTCAAACTCTGGACTGCACAGGGAAATGTGGGGCAAGAAATGTGAGTTGTGAGCTGGGAGTTGCAGATGCCAAATCTCCTTCCAATCTGGCAGGGAAAGCGAGGAAGGCGGAGGGACGGCGTTGCGAAGTATTTACGGTGTCCGGGGAGCGCTGCGGGTCCCGCTGTGCCCTCGCTGCTGCCGCAGGGTCGTGCCGGGTCGCGGGGGCTGCACAGCCCCCGGGGTTTTGCTGCGGGGTGGGGGGGGTGCACGAGCCCCCCGCTCTGCCCCAGCCCAGCGGAGCTCTGTGCAGGGCCCGATCCTGTCCACCCAGGCTTCCCCCGCCCCAGCTCGCAGGTTGGGCTGGCTCCGGGGTGACCCTGCCCGTCCCCTCTCACCAGCGTGGGCGGCGTGGTGGCACCTGGGACGTCAGCCCCTGCCACCTCCCGCACCTGGGACTGATGGCACTGGGGGAGCTCGGGGACCTCCAGCCCCCAGCTCCGCTCTGTCCCCCGGTAGCTGATTGGGGGAGGGGGCCCGAGCTGCCCGGCTCTCCCCGGGGCGATGCCCGCAGCCCCCCCAGGAGCCGCGGGAGGGGGGCAGCCATCCCCGGCTGAGCCTTGGCCGCGTGTGCTTCCCCGCAGAGTCCTGCTCCAGCGTGGTGTGCCCCGGCACCCACACCTGTGTGGTGGACCAGACGGGCAGCGCCCACTGCGTGATGTGCCGGACGGCCCCCTGCCCTGAGCCCACCAGCCTGGACCATGCCCTCTGCGGCAACAACAACGTCACCTACCCCTCGGCGTGCCACCTCCGCCGGGCCACGTGCCACCGCGGCCGCTCCATCGGCGTGCGCCACTACGGGAGCTGTTCGGGTGAGCGGGATGGTCCAGGGGCGGGGGGCAGCGGGCTGGGATGGGACCCCCCAGCGCCCACCTGCCCCTCTCACCCCCCTCACCGCTCCTTCCCCCCCCCGCTCTGTTTCCAGCTGTGGCCAAATTCTCCCCGGATATGGACAACGCGGAAGAGAACTACGTGTGAATCCTCCCTCGCCGCGAGGCCGGACCCAGGAGACAGGGGCATTATGTGTATATTGTACAAACCATATACCTGATATTTATTGAGATAAAAAGATCCTTATTTATACCTGTGTATGTTATGCAGTCGCGGGGGGCCCGATTCTCGGCGCCGCCAGCCGGGTAGTGGGGAGGGGGCTTGCGGAGCGGTGCTGAGCCACCCCGGGGATGCTGCGGTGCCTGGCAGAGCTCTCCGGTGCCCGGTGCCCGTACAGCCCTTCCCTGTGGAGGGGGTGTCCGCGCTGCCACGCGTTGAGCACCCCCACGTGTCCTTGGCCGGCAGCCCTGGGCCTATTTATTTTTGGATTGAATTCTCGGTACTCTGCTGACGTTTCTGGCCGGGACCTCGAGGTCTTGAGGGAATCTGCGCTTTTGCCTTCCCCGGAGGGGCTCAGCCCCAGCTGCCAGCGGCAGGAAAGGCAGCACAGCGCTGCACTGGACTGGAGAGGTAGATATTTTATATATATACACATATATATATATATATGTGTGTGTGTGTATGTTATTTTCTCCTCAAGCTTTAGCATGTGTTTGTTAAAAGGGATTTTAGTTTAGGTTTTCCTGGGCCCGTTCAGACCAGGCTCCCACTCGTGACGCCGGGGCCCAGCGGCCTGGTGTGGGTCCCCGTGGGTCCCCATGGGCCATGGCAGCTCTGACGGGGGGGGACACCACCAGCCCCCCCGAGCCTGCCGCTGCTGCAGGTGCCCCCATCCAGAGCCCCTTGCCCCGGGACCAGCCTGCCCAGACCCCCCTCACCCCTCCCTGCCAACACCCCTTTGAAAGTAGCCCCCGGGGGTTGTGTGGAGGGTGTCCGTGGCCCCCCTGAGGCATTTCCAGAGCTGCTGGGGTGGGCATGGGGAGCACGGCTCGGTGGAGAGGGTCAGGATTGTCCTGCCCACCCCCCCGGGACCCCCCGCCTGGCCCCACTTCCCGCACCCCCTGCTCTGATGACACCGTCTGTATTTATTTTTACTTCTCTCATTTTGTGTGTTGTCACCTGTGTAAATACCATCTCATCTCTGACACCAAAAAGCTATTGCCTTTATATAAATATCATATATATATTATATATATATATATATAAAAATACCCTATTTTCTATTTTTGTATGATTGCGTTCTGATTCCTGAGGCAAACGCTATGGGAACATATACATTTCCTATTCGGTATTGTTAGGGGCATTTTACGGCTGTGTTACAATTTGGATTATAATTAAAAAAAGAATAAACGGTGCTGTGGGTCCAGTTTTGTTCGGCAGGTTCTGGGGCCGCGGGAGGTGGCTGCGTCCCATGGGGCTGTGCCACCCCCAGCCTCACTGCTTGCCCCCTTGCTGGGGGGCTGGGGCTGGGGGCCGGCGTGGGCAGAGGGGTGCGGGGGAGCCCCAGGAGCAGGTAAGACTCTTGGCCCCACTCCCAGTCTGCATCTGCTCCAGTTTGGCACTGGGGCTTCTCCAGCCCAGCCGGGGCCGCGTGCTGCAGCGGGAGGGAAGGGGAGCGCGGGGAAGAGCAACCAGCAGCGCAGATAAATCTGTTCCCAATAGGCCGTGCCATGAGGGTTTGGTATTTCACAAAACAATTCCTGCCATTAATTGGGTCCTGATGTGCGACGCTTCCCGGGGCGGGAGCGCGGGCGGCAGCCTGCGGCTTGGCGTGCTGAGCTCAACGGGACCCGTCGCCGCTTCCCCCTGGGCTGGGGGCCGGCACACACAGCCCCCGGACCCCACCGAGCCTCGGGGGGGTCGAGCCCTCCCTGACCCGTGCCCGGCTCAGGACCTGCTGCGGCGACGGGCTCCGGCACGGTCCTGGCAGCAGCGGGGAGCTCCCAGGGCCAGGCTGGCTCTGAGAGACCCCCTGGCCCTGGGAGGGGTTCACACAGGGGAAACTGAGGCACCGTGAAGTGATGAGGGGGAACAAGACCTTTGCTCCTGGCCAGCACCCAGCACCCTCATCCCTCCCTGCTGTCCAGGAGGGTGCTGAGCATTGCGCAGGATCCGGCCCAGGCGGCAGTCTCCAGTTTGAGCCCAGGTGCCTGGTGCACCCGGAGCTGTGCTGAGCCGGGCACGGGGGGGACTCTCCCACAGCCCCTCTCTCCTTGCCCAGCTCGGCGATGCCCCCCCCGCCCCCGCTTTTGGGGATGGCTGTAAAGGAGTTGCCAAAACGCTGCCCGGGACTTACCCTGGCGCCAGCGTTTGCCGCACGTGGTGGTGTGTGGCCTGGGTTTCTCCACCGCCCGCCCACAGTGCCTTCCTCCCCGAGGCAGCTCGCCATCCTCCGCCCGCGCCGGCCGGAGGGTTTTGGCCCCCGAAGCGCCTGGCGCGCTGCCCCGTGCCGAGCCCGCGGGCACCGGCTGCGGCAGCGACGTCAGCTCCCGCCGATGAGCGGGAGATTTCGGCTTCCAAAACACGGCCGTGAGTCAGGCGCCTCCTTCCCGCCGGTTTTTGGGTGGTCTGGGACAAGCCGGGACAGGCGCCGGCTCTCCAGGCTTCCTGGCAGCGCGCAGAAGCCCCGGGGCTGGCAGCCCTGCCCCGGCATCCTCGGGGGGCCGTCTGCCCCATGCTGCTGGGAGCCCACGGGAATTTGGGGCTTCCTTAGAGGCTGGCAGCCTGGCAGGGGTCTGTCCTCTGCAGAGCATCCCCCGGTGTCCCCAAGGCCACCAACACCTGCGGCTGTGACCCCCTGACCCACGCAAAGCCCCTCAGCGGGGAGCTGTGATCGGGACAGGACAGGACAGGGCAGCCAGAGCCCCTGCGCTCCCCGGCACAGAGGTGGGGGTGCTTTTTGGGGATGTCTCAGCACACTGGCCTGGCCCTGGCCTTCGTCCTCCCCGGCAGAGCCCCCGCGGGCGGCGAGGTGGCCTGTGCCGGATGCTGCGGTCGGCTGCAGCCTCCTGTGGGCTCCCCCGGGCAGGGAGGGCAGCTGCGCCCCGCGGCCGCGGCGTGCCAGCAATTTGCAGATAAAACAAACAACCAGGAGCAGGGAATGTCTGGGTCCGTCCCCGGAGACGGCTGTGACGCCGGGGAAAAGCCGCATGCCATGTGCATGTCTCAGCTGAGACCCAGCAGCAGCTCAGCACACGTAAGCCCCCCCCCCCCCCTCCGCCTCCCAGCTGGCATGAGAGGCTCCCGGCCCCCGTGCCCATGGCCACCCAGGCCCCGGTGGGGCGAGCACCCATCTGCACGCCCGTGTGTGCCAGGGAGGCGGGGGAGGCTCTGGCGGGATCCCCGCGGGCGCAGCCGGGCGGCTGGGTGCCCATCTGCCCCCGGGGGGTGTCTGTGGTTCCCCTGTTTGGGGGGTCCCATAGTGCGGTGGGGAGGGCGCGGTGTGGGGTGGGACGGGACAAGACGAGACGGGGTGCGATGAGACGGGGTGGGACGGGACAAGGAGCCCCACCTCGGCGGGAAGGCAGCTCCAGTGCTTCTGAGGATGCTCCGTGGGGTGGCAGCGCCTGCATGAAGATCCTGGTTCCTCTGGAGCAGGGCCTGGTCCCGGGTGGGGGCTGACACTTCCCTCCTTCCTCCTGCACCCCCTGCTCCATCCAGCCCAGCCCAGGACAAGCGGGGGGTCTGGCTGGGAACCAGAGCACAAACGGGAACAGTGGGACAGCCAGAGAGGGGGCCGTGGTGGGGCAGTGGAAAGACAGGAGAGGGGAAAGCTGGGAAGAACCAGCCCCCTTTGGGATGGGCAGCAGCCACCTGGGCAGTGCAGGGTAAAGGATCAGCCCCATCAGCCCTCCCGGGCTCAGCTGCCTACAGGGAGATTAAAGGGGGCTAAAGCCTGGCCTAGCTCTGTTGGCTCCCAGGCTTGGTCTCCCCAGCATGTTCCTGGGGCAGGATAAGTGTGGGCAGGGGCTGGTGGGGATCCCTGGAGCTCCTACCTGCCCTGGAACGGGGCTGTGGCCCCCCTGGGTAGAGGGGAGCAGGTAGAGGGAAGGTGACTGGACAGAGGTCTGGGACCGTGGTTTTATTGAGGAAGACAAACGTTGCCTCTGCAAGAGGCTGAGTGAGGTGCTGGGGCTTCTTGTACAGCCTGGGGAGGGACATGTGCCCCCTTGCCAAGAGGCCGTTGGGCTCCTGCCCTACCGTGGGGCGAGGAGCCCAGAGCATCAGCTCCCAAACCCCCCGGAGCCAGGAGGCCCTGGGAGTCCTGGCTCTCTTCTTCCCTCCTGGGAGCTGTCAGACAGCCAAGACACCTCAGCCCCTCTCCCTGCAGCCCGTCTGCCTCCGGGACCCCCTCCCAGCCCTGGCCAGGGCTTTGGCTGCCCCTTCTTCTGGCGGTGCCCTTGCACGATGCGATACACCCAGTCGATATAGTTGGAGATCTTGGTGTAGATGTCAGGGTACCGGCGGTCCCCACATCTCTCCCCAGAGAATGAGACGATGCCGTAAACCTTTTCCTTGAAGATCAGGGGTCCCCCAGAGTCACCCTGCAAAGCAAGAGGGTGGGGGGGAGACTAGCGGGTGTCCTGGGAGGGGCGGTTGGGGGACAACAGGGCCGGGACAGTGCTCACCGCGCAGACGCCCTGCAGCGTGGCGTTGGGGCTGGCCCCGCACAGCATGTTGGAAGTGACCTTGCCCCTCCACAGCGTTCGGCAGAGGCTCCGCTTGACGACGGTGGTCGGGGTCTCCATCAGCTCGGCGGGCGGGTCACCGTAGTTGGAGGTGTCCCCCCAGCCCAGCACGTAGCAGACAGTGCCAGGCTTCAGGTCAACGTGCGGCGAGGGCAGGCGGACCCGCTTCACGTACTTGTTCAGCGTGGCTGACCTGTTCAGCTGGACGGGGAGCCCGGGGTGGCTGCTCCTGCCTGGGGGCCCCCCGCCCCCCCCGCACGCCTCTCCCTGCTCCTGCTGCTCGGCCCCCCCCAACCAGCCCCGACGCACTGGTCCCACTCTGCTCTAGAGACTGGCAGCCCCAGAGTGGATGGAGCCGCCAACCCGGCCGGGGCCGGTGTGTCCTGGGCCGCCTCCATCGCGCCCCACGGCACGGTCCCGCTTCTCCGGAGAAGCACTGACACCTAGTGTCAGCTCGGGCCTGCGTGGGCACCTCCCCCTTCGCCCCACGGGGCATGGGGCACCCCCTCTCCCTCCTTCAGGGCGTGGGGCACCCCATCTCCCTCCTGCGGGATATGGGGCACCCCATCTCCCTCCTGTTCTGTGTGGGGCACCCAACCTCTCTCCTTCGGTGTGTGGGGCACCCCACCTTTCTCCTTCAGGTCATGGGGCACCCCTTCTCCCTCCTGCAGGATGTGGGGCACCCCCTCTCCCTCCTTCAGGGCGTGGGGCACCTCTTCTCCCTCCCTTGGGATGTGGGGCACCCCACATCTCTCCTGTGGAGCATTGGGCACCCCCTCTCCCTCCTGTTCTGCATGGGGCACCCCATCTCCCTCCTGCGGGACGTTGGGCACCCCCTCTCCCTCCTGTTCTGCATGGGGCATCCCATCTCCCTCCTGCAGGACGTGGGGCACCCCATCTCCCTCCTTCAGGGCATGGGGCACCCCATTTCCCTCCTGCGGGACGTGGGGCACCCCATCTTCCTCCTTCAGGGCATGGGGTACCCCTTCTCCCTCCTGTGGGAGGTGGGGCACCCCATGTCCCTCCTGTGTTGTGTGGGGCACCCCATCTCCCTCCTGCTCCCCACGGGGAGTGGGGCACCCCACCTCCCGGCCGGTGGGTGCCCGTGACCTCCCAGGCAGGCCCGCGATGGCCGCTGGCACGGGACTCACCCGGAGCAGGCGGATGTCGTTGTCCACGGAGCGGGGGTTGTAGTGGGGGTGGGCGATGGACTCCGCGATGCCGAAGATCTGCTGGGACCCCTCGGGTTCCTCCAGCCTGTGGGCGCCCAGCACCACGCGCACCGAGGGGTTGCGTCTGGGGGGGGCGGTGTGGGGGGGGGCCTGAGTAGGTGCTGCCATGGCGGGGGGTGATCAGAGAGGGGGAGAAGAGGGCTGGTAGGGTGGGCCCAAGGGGAGCACAGGTGGGGGGGAGGGGGGTTGCTCCAGGACCGTGTAACCCCCGGGGACAGGGGTATCTGTTTGAAGGGGCCGTGCTGTGTCCCGGGGGGGGGACAGGAGGTGCGTGCCCCGCGTGGGAGCATGGCTCACCTGGGAATGAGGCAGTGGGCTGCTGTCATCACCCACTTGGGCCACACCAGGAAGCCCCCACAGACGTGCTGCCCGTCCATCTGGATGGAGGCGATGAAGGGCCGGGAGTGGGGTGTCACCACCTTTCCCCCGATGATCCGGTTCCCCTGGGTGCCTGGAGGGGGGTTGCAGGTCACCGGCTGCTGGGGAGTCCAGGCACAGCTCTCATCTGTGTCTGTCCTGCTCCCGGCTGCGTGTCCCAGCATCCCAACACTACCCGCGGGTGCCGGGGAGCGGCTGAACATCGGCTCTGGCTGAGGAGGGCTGAGCGTGGCAGGGCAAAGCCTCCCCTGGGGTTCTCCATCTCCTGGGGTCTCCATCTCCCGCCCTGGCCATGGGAACCAGCCCTGCCGCCCCCTCACCCCAGCTCTCCTGTTACCTGCTGGGAGCAGGATGGAGCCTCCCAGGCTGAGGATGAAGATCCCAGCCGTGACCATGCTGGTGCAGAGCGGGATGCTGCCACCTCCTCTGGGGTCACTCAGCGAGGGGGTGCTGAAGTAACTGGGGGCTGAGCCTTTGCCTGGGCGCTCCTGCTAGCTCCTTCTGCTTCCTCCTCTCTGCGTCTTGCTGCCTTGTGCAATTGCTGCGGGGTGGGGGGCACTGGGTGTGTGGTTGCTACAGGGTTGGGAGGGGAGCGGATTGGGGGAGGAGGAGAGAAAGCAGAGCGGCCTCCCCAGCCGGTCCTGCCGCCTCTTGTGCTTTGAGCTAATCAGGGTGAAGCCCCTCTCCACCGGGCAGAAGTGGGATCAGCAGGGCCCCAGCACACCCCAGGACACCTCCCAGTGTGGAGGCATGGCTGCAGTGGGCCGTGCAAGGACTGTGCTGGGCTCAGACCCAATGCATCTTTTGGCCCCTCTGGAGACCTCTTGGCTCTGGGACGGTGACGTGGGCAGAGGGGCAGTTTGCTCCCCGGGGCTGCATCCCCCTGGGGTGCACGAAGGGCTGCAGGGTGTACCGGGGTGGGGGGACGGAGGCATTGCTGCCGGGGCAGCCCTCACTGCAGAGCCAGGCCCATTCCAGGGCCGAGCATGGAGCTCTCGCCCTGGCAGTGGGCAGATCTCCCAATGATGCCGCGGTTGGAGCCCGGTTTGGGGCTTCCTGTGACAGTTTGCCCAGTGAGACCGTTGCATTGGGAAACGGAGGAGCAGCGAGGCGGGGGGGGGACGACGACGACGAGCAGCCCAGGCTCCCCCCTTCTCCATCCTCTCCCCGGTGCCGTTCGCACCGTCAGGGTTGCGGGTGGGGGATGCGGAGGCCCTGGCACGGGTTGGGGGGTGATGAGCGTGGACCTTTGGCCGGGGCAGTGCCCGCAGTGGGGGACCCCCCTGGGGAGGGAGGAGCTGGGGGGGGGGGGGGGGGGGGGGAGGGCAAGGAGCCGGCAGCGCCCGCAGTCCGCCCCCCCCCGCCCCGCACCTCGCAGCCGGGCCGCGCTCGGGGGGTCCCCCCGCACCCCAGAAGCAGCCGCAGCCCCCGGGGGCGGGCGGGGAGCGCCGCGCCCCGAGGCCGGGTGAGGGGCGGCGGCAGTGGCGGGCCGCGCCCGGCAGACGGAGCTGTGCGGGCGGCGCGGGAGGCGGGAGCACCGGCGCGGCCCCGCCAGCCCTGCGCATCCCGCAGCCCCGCCGGGGATGCCGCCGCCCGCCGGGCCCTGAGCGCCGGGACGCCGGCGGCCGCCGGCCCCGCTCCGCCGCGCCCCTCCCGGCCCGACCCCGCCGGAGCCGCCGCCCGCCTGGAAGATGGAGTGAGTACCGGCTCCGGCCGCGCCGCCGCCGCGGGACCCCCGGCACCGGGCCGCGGGCACCCCCCGCCCCTCCTCGAGCCGCCGGCTGAGCGCCGCGGTACCGGGAGGGGCGGCCCCGCCGGCAGCCGGGGCTCGGGGAACCGCGCACCGCGGCTCACGGAGCCCATAGCTGGGGCTCGTATCCCCCCCAGTGCTGGGGCTCGAGACCCCCACGCCGGGGGCTCGCACCCCCCTGATCCTGGGGACTCAGGACCCCAATACCAGGGGCTCGCATCCCCCTGACGCCAAGGCTCGAGATGCCAAAACCGGGGGCTCGCATCCCCCCCATGCCAGGGCTCACAGCCCCAAAAGTGGGAGCTCGCATCCCCTCCGTGCCAGGGCTTGCAACCCCAAAATCGGGGGCTCACATCCCCCCAGTGCTGGCGCTCAGATCCCCAATACCGGGGGCTTGCATCCCCACAATGCTGGGGCTCGGGACCCCCCACACCGGGGCCTCACGTCCCCTGGTGCTGCTCGCAGGTGCTGCCCCTCCCCAGGTCCCTGCCCTGCTGTGGGGTGCCGAGGTGCCCACTCGGGGAGCAGCAGCGGAGGCCCCGGAGCGGACGAGGGGGCTGTGAGGGGCGAGTCTCCACTGGCAGCGGTGCGGGAAGCGGGGAGGGGTGGGAAGGGCGTTTATTTTTGTGTTTTGAACCTGTTGTTGCTGCTGCGTGTGGCTGGGGTGAGTGGGTGGCTGTGAGCTGTGGACCCCTCCCTGCGCACGCACCCCCAGCCCGCTGCCCAGGGACACCCACGCACCGGCTCCCGCCGGAGGGACCCTCTTGGACCCCGGCCTTTATCCTTTGTGTGCTGCGGTGGGGCCCTGCGTGGTGGTTGGTGCCTGCAGGCGGGCTCGGGGCCGGGCAGGGGGCTTTGGGTGTGGATGAGGGAAGGAGGGAGCAGGGGGAGGCCCTTGGGAGGGTGGGAACTGGGGACCAGCTTGCCAGCACACTGGTTTTGCCCCTCAGGGACACGATCAGTTCCCGCCTGCAGCGTGCTGGTGCTGGGAGGGCAGGGGGCTGGTCGGCTGCTCAATGCGCCGAGTGCCAGCAACAGCAGCCGGCCGGGCTGGCCCTGTCCCACCCAGGCCGCTCCTTCCCTCCCGTGACTCTGGTCCCCACCGTGGCAAACAAGGGGCCCCCCAGCATCTCTTGGGTTTGGCACTGGGGGCTTCCCGGGGGCATCCAGCCCCCCACAGGTTTGGCTACCCTCCACTCCTCGTGGGCACCTCACCTTGCTCCCATTAACTGGCCGCCTGCTAGCGAGATGCCGGGTGCTCAACAGGTCCCACTCGCCACCATCCACCTCCCACCGGGGAGCCCCATGGAGCTGTGGGGTGCTGGTGAGGGACAGGATGGTGGTTTCCTGGGGTGGGGGTGGGCTCTGGCTGGCTCAGGGCTGAGATCAGCATGGGAGGCACTGGCTGGTGGCCTGGGGATGTTTTGGAGGCCAGGGTGCAGCGTCAGTGGGGCTGGGGGAGCAGAGCAGCTCCCCTTGCTGCTGGAGGGGCCAGAGGCTTTGTGGTGCCAGAGCTCGCTGAGGCAGGTCTGTGGCTTTGGGCAGCTCCTCGGGGCGTCGGTCCCTTCAGAAAAGTGCCTCTTTGGGGAGGAAAACATGCGCCTGGTTTGCCAAAAGGCAGCGAGGGGAAGGGCAGAACCGAGGGGTGCGATGGGCCCTGGGGAATGGGTGGAGGAGCTGCAGGATGGGGCGCGGGGTCCCCGGGGCGCAGGCGTCGAGGGCTGGAGTTGAAGCAGGGGACGGCGCCGGGCGGGATGGTGGCTCCTGCCCCCGGGCTCCGCACACCGCCTCTCACCCCGCTCCGCTCTCCCCGAGCTGCCGAGGCTTTGGGTGGTCGCTCCCAGTGAGGAGCCTGAGGGGTGCGGGGGCTTCCCTCCCTCCAGCTCCGTATGCTGGACCTGCCGATGGCTCTTCCTTTTGAGTGAAACCCCGTGAGTGACCCGGGGCGGGGGTCACCCCTCCGAGCTGGGGGAGCACAGCCAAAAAGCAAACTGGGGTGCACAGGGATTCTGCGTGGGCAGCACTGGTGCAGCCCCTCCAGCCGCTCAGCCGACTGCGGCTCTTCGGGAGGAGGCTCCTGAGCTTTCGGGCTGGAATAAACGTGCAAAAGTCGGTGATGGTTTAAAATGCCCAAACACGCTCCCCTAGGCGGGTCTGGGTTTACAGAGGGACCTGCAGCTCCAGCGTTCCAGCCCTGGGTCTCACCAGGCCAATCCTGTTCCCTCAAAACCAGAGCCTGGTCATGGGGCTGGAGGTTTAGGGGAGTCCCAGGGCAGGTGAGGACACAGCGAGGTGCTCCCCGACGTTGGCCTGGATCTGCGGCAGACAACGGGTGCTGGGGAGCGTGCTGCTGGCCTTGCTTTGGCTCCTGCTTTGCCTTGGCACCGGCAGCGGCTGGAGGAGGGTCCTGGCTGCCGTGAGCCGCCGGTGCCCAGGGAGGTTTGGCTGAAAGCTTCCAGCTCTTGTACAGGCTGTGCGGGTCCCGTCGGGGCTGCTTGTCTGTCCTCTGCTCCTGCTGCCATTAATGCTCTTGAGCAGCTGGAGATTTTGCTGTGTCTGGCTGCTCTGGTAGTTTGTCTCAGTGAGTCACTGCTCTCCCCTCTGGGTCTGGGGTCTCCTTGGAGTGGGGGGGGTCTCCTGGTCCTGCCCTCCCGACCCTGCCCATCCCTGATCTGAAGCTGACAGTCGCAGCTGGGGGAAGGAGGAAGGTTTCTGCCTGAGGAATAACCTGGGAGCCTTTTAGGAAGGGACTTGGGACCCTGCTCTCTGCCTGCCTCTGGGGAGAAGCAAAACCCCGCTGATGCTCCCCAGACCGGCCCATCGCTGCCCCCCAGCCGGCTGCAGGGAGCTGGAGGGGGTTGGGTCTGTCCCTGTCCCTCTGCGCAGCCGTGGGGACAGCACCCTTGTCCTTCCCATCTCCCGGAGAAAGACATGGAGCTCTGATGCAGGTGGCTGCACAACGGCACCCCGGCCCTGCTTGGGGCTGGAGGATTTTGGGGTTCAGAGTTTGGCCACCGCTGCGGGATGGGGCCTCTCGGCCGGACCCATGTGGCTGGGCAGGAACCGGAGCGGGATTCCTGGAAAGCTGCCGGTGTTGGTGTTCCCACTTCCTGGCCAGAAACAGCCACTTTCCCCACGCAGGGTCAGTGGTTCGGGTGGTCTGCGCTGTGCTGGGGCTCGGCTGGGCTGTGGCCTGGGCCTGTCTCCAGCGGTGGAGGTGGTGGGAGCAAGGAAGGGCCGGGAGGAAGGCTGGGGAGGCGACGTGCACTGGGGCAGGGTCGGCCGGAGGCGCAGGGCTTGGGGCTGGACGCAGAGGAGCCCGGTTTCCCGAGTCTGTCTTTACTCCATCCGGAGGCTAGCAAGCCCCCGGGCCCCAGACAGAAACCGCTCTCGGGGACAAGGATGAGCCCTGTGGCAGCCCGGGAGGAGCCGGGGCGGATCCTGCCCCATCCAGGTGTTTGCTGGTGGAGCATGGCTGGACGGGGCTGAGCCTGGCCCCTGGGCTCGGCGCTGAGGACTGAGCTCCCTGCGGGTGCCCGGGGCTCACGGGGGTGCCCCTGCCAGGAGACCGGGCAGGTGCCACGTTCCTGCCGGCTCCTTGGAGCCTCGCGTGTGCCTGTGCTCAGGGCGGTGGTGTGGGAAAGCCGCGCTGCCTCGTGTGAACGGGAACCCAAGGGCCAAGTGACGTGGCCGGGGCCACCCCGAGGTGGCGGGGAGCCGGGCGCCGTGCCCCGGGCTGGCGCTGGGGCTGCCTGTCCCAGCCGGTCG